AGGATGCAAGGTGGGGTCTTCCATTCCGGCACCCCAGTGAGATGCTTCAATGTGGTCTGCCGCCCCAAACGGGAGCCTGACCAGATCCGAGGAGTTGCAGAAGGTTCACTTAACCACCCCTGGCGCTTCGATTTCAGAATCTCTTCACCTCGGTGGTGGAAAAATAAGGGGCTCCTCGGAAGTCTGCCAACGGGGAGGGAGGTCTCCCGCCTCGCCGGGAAGGCGAAGCAGCGGCGCCGGGCAGAGATCAGGGAGGGTCTCCGCGCCCGCGCCTCCCGACGCCGCCAGCTCCGGGGGCTCGACGCTGCCCCCTCGACGGCCGGCACGAAGGGCATTCGCGCCCCCAAAAGCCTGCGCCCTCGCAGCCGCCGCCGCCGCTGTTGCTAGCGCACGGGTCTGGCGGGGAGCGGAACTTCCTCCTCGGGCGGCCACTGAGAAGCCCCGGCGTGTGCGGGGGAGGCGCGGCGGCCGCCCCGCCCGGCTCCACTCCCCGCTCGCCGCCGCCGCCGCCGCCGAAGTTAACCCAGCGCCTGCTCCCCGGACCAGGCCGCCGCTGACCCCGCCGCGCCCGCCGCGGTGACCGAGCCCCACTGACTCTGCGGCGTGGGAAGAAGCCGAACCTCAGCCCCTCGGTCAGAGCCAGGGACGAGCCTGCTCATTCCTCGCTCGGCGCTGGGAGGCAGCGGGTTGGGCGCCGGGAGCGACCGCGCCTCGGGCAAGAGGTCGGCCGTCTCCGTCCTCGCCGGCCGCCGTGGGGGCCTCCCCTCGCGCAGTCCGCCTCACCATGGCGGCGGCTGCAGGAGAGGCAGCACTCCACGCGGTGCCGGGGCTACGGCCCCGTCCTCGGCCCCTGCCTCTGAGGCCCGGAGAGCGCAGACAGCAGGGGCCGCCCGTTGAGCACACGCCTGCAGGGACGGTGTGGGGGATCGGGATGGCGCAGGCCAGCCTGCCGCCCCGACTCGCAGGAGTGGGCGTCCCCGGGCGCGGAGTGTGAAGGTGCGCACGCTCCCGACCCCGCCACCCGGCCCGCGCTCCTGGCCTCCGCCGCCGCTGCGGGCTCCAGCGCCGCCGCCGCCCGTCGCCCGCGCCCTCCCGGAAGCGTCCTGCCGCCGTCGTCTGGGCGGTGGGCGAGGTCGCCAACTGCGCCTCGCTGCTTCGCCGCTGCCAGACGCTGCTGCCATCGCCGGACTGACCCGGCTTTGAGGGAGCAGGAGGGAGGGCTCAGTACGAAAAATTTCACCTGTTAAAACTTACCGTAACTTTCCCAGCATTTTATACTTCGCAAAAATGCCTTAAACAAAACTCCTTGCCCTTTCTTCCCTTACGCCCAGCCGCACACACACTTTTAAACTTTCCTCCTTTCCGGCCCTGCTTTCCATAAAACACCTTCAAACTTCCAGCCAAAACGCCTTGCCCATGCCAACTGCCAACACCAAACCCACAGAAATTTGCCTTCCAATGCCACCACTACCTTCCTGCCATACCTGTCTCCAAAAATAAGCGTTAAAAAAAAAAAAAAAGGCAAGTATGAGCGAGGAGGTGCTAAAACCAAAGGCGATATTGTTGAAATCCAGGCCTACAAAACGTCCCTTCATCCGTGGCGTTGGAAAGAACCATGGTAATGATTACAAAAAAAAAAAAATTATATATACTGTAAACACAGCTGCTTTCACGTTGAGTTTTATTCTACTAAGATAAAATTGTCATTCTTTCTGGGCACATCCTCACTGGTAGCTGAGGTTAGAGAAGCCCTTAATGGCAGGAGAAAGGACAGTCTTGAAAAATCAAGCAAAGAATCCTCATGTTCATTGGCACAAGACACATTCCAGTCTGCACTATTTTCCAAGCCTGCATATCTAACTACAATAATATGACAAAAAAAGAAGTCATTGTCACTTGCCATGCTTCTGTATCAAAGGAATAAAATGTTAAGGGAACCCCCCCCCCCCCCCCACATTCACTGAGTCAGGCTGGTAGTGAAGTGTATGCTGAATCAAAAGTGAGTTGTGTTGGGACACTTGTGAAGTAGGTTCGCCCTACAATGTTATGAACTCTAAGCTGAAGGCCTGTCTGGAAGCCAAGGAAACATAGGGTTTCCACTACTGATGAGGTCATTCTGAAAGGTGAAATAAAATATTGAGCTGTGAATGATGCTTAGCAAGTTATATGAATCTTGAAAGTGAATATCTTTTGATTGACAAATCATTTAACCCTAGAGAATCAATCAGGAAACAAGCCATAATCTAATGCTGACTTGGCGGTTCAACCTGGAAAAGGCTATAACTTCTGGAAAAGGGTTATGTCCCCGCTTCTCTTTTCTTGCCCTTGCCTTTTTGCAAATCATTTTCCTTCAGGAAAGTAAAAATGTCATTATTTAAATTCAGGGTTAGGGGCACCTGGGTGGCTCAGTAAGTTGAGGCGTCAACTCTTGATTTCAATGTCAGGTCATGATCCCGAAGTTTGTGGGATGAACCACTCAGACTCTGCACTGCATGGAGCCTGCTTGAATTCTCTACTCTCTCCCTCTCCGACCCGCTTAACTTTAGCACACTCTCACTCTCTCCCTAAAATAAAAAATAAAATAAATTGGGGTTATTACAGATGTCTACTTGCCAGCCTGCAATTCTAAGGGCATTGAGAATACTATCAGTTATATTACAAGCATCAAAAATAGTGTGTAAAAAAATTAGATATATATATTTAGTGTGATAGTGTATTCTCTTCCTAGAGACTGGTCCTTTTCAATAAGTTGTAAAGCAGCAGGACTTTTTTTTTGTGGGGATTTTTAAAAGCAAGTTGCAAATTTAATTCATAAATTATAACTACAGTATATAAATAAAGATTAAAAGAGTAGATTTGAGAAAAAAATAATTATGTAACTGTTTGTGTTGGGATGTTGGTGCCATATGATTTACCCCCTGTGTTCTGTTTGTGTTGCTTTTATTATTAAATAAATGTTATAGAAACTGGTACTTGAGAAGTTGAGATTTCCAAATAGATGGACTCCGTTGTATCAAGGTTAAAACACATCTAGGAAATCAACAGAAAGCAGAAAGAGTACATGAAATATGTAAATATGTTACAGGGAAGGATTTCAGTCTGATTTAAAGAGAATATCTTATTTTCAAAAAGAGTAGTTATACTTTGATCAGAGATATAGGCGAGATTCAGAACAATGAATAGTGATGATTTCCACATAAATCCATATACATTAAAATTGATGTTTTAGTGATATGACTGCTTAAATTCCTGGTGAAACAAAATTTATCCGTCGTGTTTAGGATTTATGGGACCATTGCTAGATCCACCTACATATTACTGTAAAATTATTTGTCTTTGAATTCAGTCATCTAGTAAGTTTTCCATTATACGAACAATTTTAACACCTATTATACACAGACACGCACACACACACAAATATACATCAGCTCTGTTTTTCATTGAAATTATATGCTAGAGAAAAAAAAAAAAGAAAAAAGAAAAATATACCTGATATATGCAAAAAAGAGGCTTTTTAGTTTGCCTTAACTTCCTCCTAGTTTCGCCTGGTTTAAAGAGGCTCCAAGAAATGTTAGAGAAGAAATCATCAGCTATGACACTAAATGCATAAAGGCCTGTTCTTTCTGCTCTTGCATTGTTCTGAAACTTTTTCCTCGGAGGTAGGGACAACTCAAGTTCAATGTTGAAACTCTCAAGTTAGCTCTCTATGAAAAATCAACCGAGCCGCTGGCTGCCTCACCAGAACCAAAGGTCTTTCCGACTCATCTGTTTTATAAAGACACATTTGTTGAAGGAGACTGCTGTGTGACACATCCCTACGGTGCTAGAGATTTGGAAGAATTAAATCAGAATCCCTATTTCCAGTGAGCTCCCAGTCTGGTGTGGAGATAGCTGAACTGACAGTAGAAACCGGGGAGGAATTATATTGGAATAAAGCCCCAGGGGTTTGTGGAGGATCACTCAAGGGCACCAGAGTTGGGGGGGGGGGGGGGGTGGGAGTGCATCAGGGAAGGTTGATCAGTGCCACCTGAAGTGAGGGCACACACTAGAAGTAACCAGGAGGAGAAGAGGATTGATTTGTTTCAACCTAGGGAGCAGAATATGCAATGGTGCTGCTTTTTCCTGCCACTTAATCAGAACCCCTTCTATTCTCTTCCAATCAACAAGCTTGGCTGCCTGGCCTAATCAGTACTCTTGAACTGGGAAAATGAGATTTTAGAAAAACCTGACTATTTAAACACGTTGCTGGGACCTCTCCCAGAGCCCAAAGAAAGGGCCAGAAAGCAAGGAGGAACCCAGAAGCCTAAGCTACTGGGCTCATATAAATTAGCTTCTGCTCCTGTATCCATGCATATCACAAAAGGCTATTTCATCCCTTTGAACGTCTCAGTTACCCAAGCTTTCATTGCTTACATTTTCTTTTCTCATCAGAATTAGTGTCTGTGGCTTGCAGTGTAGGAGGCTGGCTAGCCAGCATGTCCATGGAGGTACCATATGGGCTGTACATGTGAAGCATCAGTAGTTTTGCCAGTAAAGGATCGCTCTTTAGGAGCCAGCGAAAGGCTTGGGCCAGGGACAAAGTGAGATAAGAACAAGAGACAACAACTGTCTTTTTGAAGAGCTGGAGGAAGCTAAAATCGAGGGTGGACAGGGTGACAGC